GATTGTAAAATTTTTTCAATGGCATTAAGAGAAGGTGAAATTGGATATGTTTCATTGTTATCTGGTTATATTGTTGCATTACAAATTAATGATACAAAGAGGTATACTTTTGTAATTCAATTAATAAATTTCATTTCATTATAATATTACCGTAATCATAGTTTAACCAACCATTATATTTTTGCAATTTAATCACATAAAATTAATTTATTTTATAAATTACTCCTTTCTTCAATCAAAAAATATTTTAATCAATAACACATGAAATTATAAATTAAAAATTTACAGCGAAATATTATGGGAATTGAAAATATCTGATATTGCACTTAAATTATTATACAGCGATAAATTACTGTATGCAGCACTTGCAAGTGGTGTTCTGACCGTTTTTGAGGTATATATTTCGATAATTGCTTAATTAATCTTTTTTTTCCTGCCATAATCATTGCTTATCAGCTAATCAAACACTGATATAAGCTATCAAAACATGAAAATGATGACTATTGAAACAATATAAACTTTTCACACAATAGTAAATCCCCATAGTATTCAATAGTTTTACGCTTAGCTCAATTTGAAACTTAATTTTGCTATCGATTCTTTAGAAAAAAAAAAAAAACGAAACCACAATCATTGTGACATAAGAGGAGAAAAAACAAAATCAATGTGGCATAATTCAAGCGAATAATATAATGTAAACACTTGTTGATTAACAAATTAAACTGTAAAATTACCAATAGTAATGAGAATTGGTTAAGTTTTCTGGTAAGATATTTGTGAAATATTTTTTTTTTAACAATGCATATTATTTTATTTTATTTTTGTAAGATGCATATAATTCGTTTAACAGCTTTTTTACGTTTATTTCAAATTGGTTATTTCACTTAGTTTTTCTTTTCCTTCTTTCTTTCATAAATTTTAGAATGTGAATAAAATTATACCGAATGCTATTGAAATGCTTAATTTACCGATTAGTACAGCACCGATTACGGAAATGAGCATAGTTGGTGATACTTTATGGCTTGCAACTGCATGCAAAGTGACAATTATCTGTTCGAAGTAAGCTTGAATAATTCAAACTAGTTAAACTTGTATTTTGCCCCAGTTCAGGTGATAGTTATCCAGTAATCTGGAAATTTCTCCGTCTATCTTTTTATCAATGTTAAATATTTGATCCATAATATATTTGCATAATAAATAAGCCATTTAATTATCTCTTTTCTTAATAACTTGTCGCAATCAGAATGACAAAATAATAGTGAATAAACAAATTTCTTTAATTTCAACGAAGTAATCATCTGTTTGAAATTATTCATTTCTTATTATTTTATGATATCATCAAATTTTATCTCAGGTAAATACAATAATTTAGCTAAGCTAACATGTTGTAAAAATTAGTTTTTCTTTTTTCATGCACTTTTTTATAACCAATTCCTTTTTTTTTATTAATTAATTAGTTTCTAGAAATATTTTCATTCATTAAAATTAAAGATCGTTAACAATACTTCGAAAAATTTATGTTGCATCATCGGTATCTGTTCATGGTTCATCATTGTTTGAAAAAATTCGTTGTATGTATCAATCATCCTATGGAGTTTGGATTGTAACAGCAAATTCGCAAGTGTTACAACTTTGGAAAGATGATGAATGTATTCTAATTATAGATTTAGGAAAAGAACAATACAATAAGTTTGTTTAAAAATTATTTTAAATGTTTAAAAATTACCTCAAAAATTATTTTAAAAATTATTTTAAATTAGTTTCAAATTAAAATTATTAACAAAATTTCATCGTTATTAATTAATTCTTTCAATAATTCTCTTTATATGTTAATCATATATTTATTTTAAAAAAAAAATATTTTTAAAAGTTTTAGAAAAAACAAAATTTATTTTCAAAATCCATTTTTTCCTACTATATGAATTACTAACAGATCAATAAATGTTACAAACAATTTTGTTGTTTTATATTAATAAAAGAAAAAAAGAAAAAAACGGCACGATAATTTGAAATAATTAACTCAAAAAATATTCATAAAATTTTGTTATTTTAACAATAAAAGGATAATATATACATTAAGAATACGTTGACAAACTTTTAATTTAATAATAACATTAAATTAATTTAATATTAAATTATCTAGAAAATCAAATTAATTAAACATTGATTCAATTCTATTCTATTCTACTTAATTAAATTCCATTTCATGCTATTTTATGAATAATAATTACAAATTCATTTGATGAATTATTAATTTTACAATAAAAGAATAATATATACATTAAGAACATGTTGACAAACTTTTAATTTAATAATAACACTAAATTAATTTAACATTAAATTATTTAAAAAATCAAATTAATTAAAACATTGATTCAATTCTATTCTATTCTATTTAATTAAATTCTGTTCCATTTAATTACATTCCATTTCATGCTATTTTATGAATAACAATTACAAATTAATTCAATGAATTATTAATTTTAATTAAAGCTTAAAATGAATGATGAAGGATGAAAAAATGGGAATAAAATTTTCGTTTTTTTTTTTTCTTTTTTCTTTTCAATAGCGCACCACAACGACCAACCGAAATAACATCGGTGTTATGTGTTCGAGAACAAGTATGGATTGGTACCGTTGATGGATATCTGCTAATTTATCGTATCATTCAACAACAATATCAACAAACAACAAATATAGCACATTCGAATAGCTTATCCAAGTTTGTTAACCATATTTATTTTTAAATTATTTTAATTAATTTTGAAATATTAATTAAATTTTAAATATTCATTTAATTCGTTACAATTTAATGAATGAAAAAATTAATAAACATGGAAAATTATTTTCAATTAATTTTATCATTACAACAAAAAAATTTTCAAATTTTCTTCTTTTTAAATTAAAAATTTTTAAAATTCAAAAAGAAAATGAAAAGTTTAATTAGTTTTGAAATAGTTGTTGCATGTCACAAAATATGACGACATTCGAGAAAGTAACACATCCGACTAAAAGTGAGGTACAATATGATGAATCAGCAAACGAAAATGCATATCATCTCAATTTTAACATTCCACAGAAAATATCAATTAAAATTGATCGAAATTCCCGGAAATACAGTGGTATATTTTAACTTTACTAATAATCGATAATGAAAATAATATCGAAAAAAAATATTCAAAATTAGAAAGGAGGAAAAAAGAAACAAACAAACTTTAATTTGTCTTTTTTTCTACTAGAATTCAAATAAAAAAAATGCAATAGAAAGGAATGAATTTTTGCACGAATTGCAGTAATTAAATACTGAAATTTAATTTAATATTGTAACGTACTATCACCTTTGAAAAAAAAGAAAACATAAGAAAGCATAAAAAAAAAAAAAACGTAATCTTTTCCATTTAAATTAATCCATTCATTGAGTATTGTCGAGCAATAATTGTCGCCATTAATTAATTGAAATTAAAATAAAAAATGCAATAAAAAGAAATGATTTTTTGCACAAATTCCAATAATTAAATATTGAAATCAACATATTATTATCATATATAAGCAGATTAAAAAAAAAGAAATCAATTAAAAAATATGTTTTTTAATTACAAATCAGATATGAATTTAATATAATTTACAAAAAAAAAGAGTTTAAAAAAAAAAATGTAGTTTTTCGGAAAATATCTGACGACGAATCAGTACTATCAACAGGGAATGAATTGAAATCACATATAACTGATCAGAAGTAATCTTTTTTTTCTCCATTGAAATTAATTTATTTATTGAATTAATTTAAAATTTTCGTTGCATTTATTAAATTTTTGTACTTATTAAATTAAATATACTTCTTGTTGCATTTATTAAATTATTACATTTAATGAGTATTTTTGAGTAATAATTATTTCTATTAATAAAATTCGAGTAAAAAATGCAATAGGAAGAAATGAATTTACATACGAATTGCAATAATTGAATGTTGAAATAACCGAAATTATTAAGCTTTCCCATTTAAATAATCGAAAAAAAAGCTGCATAATTTGTATTTTTTTTTCAAGTTTAGACCAATGATAACGATCGATTCGTCTTTAGATTCTTCATCCGATACAATTTATAATGAACCATTATCAAAAGGTAATCTACTGTTTGTTTGAAAGATATGATAAATATAAATTCAAATTTTCAGTTTTTTTTAAATTAATTATTATTCCGGTTTTATTTCGAATTATTCAGGTTTTCAGAAGAATGTTCTGATTTTTCAGACAAAGTTTTCAGTTTTTTTTGGAATAATTTTCCAGTTTTCCGGACGAAATTTCCAGCTTTTCAGTTTTGCAGAAGAAACTTCCAGTTTTTCGGGCGAAGTTTCCAGTTTTTGATCAGAATTTCCCAATTTTTCAGACAATATTTTTAGTTTTTTAGACGAAATTTTCAAATTTATTTCCAATCTATTACATTTATGCTAATTATTTCATCCTTATCTTTTCTTGTATTTCATTAATATTTCCATCTTTTAAATTCTTTAATCTTTTAATATCATACATACATTGGAAAACTTCAATATTAGCTTATAATTTATGTTTAAATTTTAAAAATCATTCACCAATCAATAATACATTTTTGTATCCTAAATGTATTTTTCAGTGAATAATTAAATTTCATTTTCAATGATAATAGAAATGAGTGTTTTTTTCAAATTTATTTTACAGAATTTTAATTTCCAGTAAAAAAAAAGTGTATTTTCATTCCGGTACGGAAACGTTCATCACAAAGTGTATTTTAGTTCCGGTACGAAAACGTTCAGCACTCCTTCTTCAATCATCATTCACAAAAAATAATCGTAAATTTTGTTGGAGAATGGTTGATAAGAAGAGAAAAAATTTTCATATTGGATTAGCATCACCAACAATTTCACAACATTCCTTCGAATTTAATGATTTATTTGAGTTTTATTCGGAAGATAATAAACGAGGTTTTCCTTAATATTTGATATCCTTTCAATTTTAATTATTTCACATAATTTAATTAATAATTTCATTTTAATTATAGTATGGTATAGTTATTGTGTCACTAATCTTTCATCCTAACCTAATTTTAATTATTATATATATAATTTCTGATATTCTTCCAATTTTAATTATTTCACATAATTTAATTAATAATTTCATTTTAATATAGTATGGTATAGTTGTTGTGTCACTAATCTTTCATCCTAACCTAATTTTAATTATTATATATATAA